TTATCATAGCCTATATGGTCTTATTTTCATTCTTACGTCTGATTTTGCCCCTAGTACATTTATCATAGCCTATATGGTCTTATTTTCATTCTTACGTCTGATTTTGCCCTCTAGTACATTTATCATAGCCTATATGGTCTTATTTTCATTCTTACGTCTGATTTTGCCCTCTAGTACATTTATCATAGCCTATATGGTCTTATTTTCATTCTTACGTTTTGCTCTAAATAAATACAGTACCATTAATATTATGCTTTTTAAAAAACATTTTTGAAACGAATTACTTACTGTAAATGAAATCCATTTGCACATGTATGTTTTAAGTCAATCTGTTATATAAACTAACTGAAATAAATAGTAACACTTACCATTATATATTTTATCATAGCGTCCGATAGGACATCACGGATTCTGTGCTTTACTGTATATCATTTCGATTTACGTATACAGATATAAAACACTAGCCCTGATGATGGTAACTGTGTTATCGAAACTAGTCGGCTGCAACTAATAATAAAGTTTTTTAATAATGTTTTTAAACGCTTAATATTGTAGCACAATGTGCTTGAAAAGAAATTACAGCAAGATATGTTTTGAAATCGAAAGGTTTACGCTGCTGATATCAAACACAAAATGAAGAAACTAGGCAGTTGAAATACCCAGAAAAACCACTTTGTCTATACACACTTAACTTATTATTGTTTTATTCCAGAATACGTTTACTGCATAAACAACCATTAAGGGAATTTAAAAATACCTTTCATAAGCATAATTAACTTTAAACTATTTCTAGGCGCTGTTGTCATGACACAAAAATATTTTGTTTTTTCTTCTAACTTCGTAAAACTACCATTTAAATACGTTCTGCATAGTGTGTTATAAAGTTTTGATACGGATTCATCATGCTCACTCTAGAAATATAAAGGTAAAAGATACATTAATAGAACCTTTTTATAAGTCATTAATAAAATATTACTATTTTTACAAAAATAAGTTTGTCTTGATATTTATTGATCATCTAGGAATTTGTTTCAGTTTTTTACGGGAAGCTAATAATATGGGCTTTAAACATTACGTAACATAAGAAACAATATCCATCCTAGAAATATTTATGTTCAAACATCATTATAATTATTACAA